CCTAGCTTATAGACCTGTGTGAAGGGGTCTGGTGACCCAGCTTGTTGTGGAGGCGTCTGGTGACCCAGCCTGGCATGTGAAGGGTTTGTGACCCAGTCTGTGAATGAGCTTGAGGGGTCTGGGAGCTCCAGACCCAGCCCTAGCTCAACCATCGGCCCAGTCACTGCAGGATTACCGGCAGGTAAAAGAGTCATGACAACTAGCGTGGTTGCCTAGCTTTACAATATCTCTACTTGATTTTTTAGTTAGCCATTATCTGTTGACTTCCCAACATGGAAGATGAGGATTTAGCTTTCTTTTGTACACTCCTCTGCACCTCCACCACACATGTACACTTTCAGTCCTTTAATTCTCCTGATATAGTTATACCATGCTTTGCTCATACTGCCCAATCAGGAGGATGTCATTGATGTAATCCATCAATGTGATATTCTTTTTTTTTTTTTTTTTTTTTAAAGATGACCACTAAGGGGATCTTAACCCTTGGCTTGGTGTTGTCAGCACCATGCTCAGCCAATGAGCAAACCGGCCATCCCTATATGGGATCCGAACCCAGGGCCTTGGTGTTATCAGCACCACACTCTCCCGAGTAAGCCACGGGCCGGCCCTCAATGTGATATTCTGCAGGATGTCCAGAAGGTCCAGATCTCTTCAGGCTATTTTATAACAGAGGGCAGGAGTGTTAACATAGCCCTGGGGCCAAACTGTAAATGCCAATTCTTTCTGATCCTTTCCTATGATTGGAATAGAAAAGAATGCATTCACCAAAATCCATGATACATACCAAATACCTGAGGCTATATTAATCTATTCTGGCAAATGTACCACATCTGGCATGGCAGCTGCAAGCAGGCCTACTAATGGGTTGAGCTTGCAGTAATCTACTGTCACCCTTCAGAGTCTATCTATTTTTGCAGGGACAGATGGTGAGTTAAACAGAGATACAAAGGGAATCATCACCTCTGTTTTCTTTAGATTTCTAAGAATGGGACTAATTCCTGCCACACCCTCCCTAGATAAAATATAGTTTGATTTCCTGTGTATCATGGACTGAATGTTTGTGTTCCCCCCAAATTCATATGTTTAGAGCCCTAAACCCCAGTGTGATGGTATTTGGAGGTGGGGTCTCTGGGAGGTAATTAGGTTTAGATGATGTTTTAGTCCATTCGGGCTTTGTACCAGAATACCATAGACTGGGTGGCTTATAAACAACAGAAATCTATTTCTCATGGTTCTAGGGGCTGTGAAGTCCAAGATCAAGCCACCAAAAGATTGTGTATCTGGTGAGGGCCTGTTTCCTGTTCAAAGACAACAATCTTCTCCTTGCATCTTCACATGGGGGAAGGATGAGGGTGCTCTCTGGGGTCTCTTTTATTATTTCTGGGCACAAATCCCATTCTTTATCACCTCCCCAAAACTCCACCTCCAAATACCATCATATTGGGGATTCTGTTTCAACATGAATTTGTGGGGACACAAACATTCAGTCTATAGCAGATGAGACCATGAGGGCGGCGTCCCCATGATGGGATCAGGATTCTTAGAAAAGGAAAAGAGACCAAAGCTCTCTTCATGCACACTTACTGAGAAGAGGCCATGTGAGGACACAGTGAAAAGGTGGTTGTCTGCAAGCTAGAAAGTGCCCCCACCAGAAACTGAATCTGCTGGCCCTTTGATCTTGGATTCCCCAGCTTCCAGAACTACGAGAAATAAATGTCTGTTGTTTGAGCCACCTAATCTGTGGTATTTTTTTTTATATCAGTATGATTTAAGACACTGTGCCATGTTTCGCTTGGAAGGGGAGGCAGTTTCATAGCCTTCCAGTTGGTCTTCCCCACCGTAATAGCTTTTACCCTACAGGCAAAGGTCCAAATGGGTTTGCACCAAATGTCGAATAGGTCAACCCCATTATACATTTGGGGAGTGAGGAAATGACTGCTGGGTGGAGCCATAGACCCAATATACTCACTCTGAACTGTACCCTGGCATGACTCCATTTATTAACTGGACTCTCTATGCCCCCATTCTTTTTTTTTTTTTTTTTGGTGGCTGGCCGGTATGTCTATGCCCCCGTTCTAATCCAGGGCCACAGTGATGCTTCTGGCTTCTGGATATCAATGTCAATTCAGACCCTGTGTCTCACAGTGCTTTAAATGTCTGGGTGTGCCCATTTCCCTAGGGCACAGTTACCCAAGTAAATGGTCAAAGATCCCCTTAGGGAAGGACTGGGGAAATCATTACTATTTATCCTTGTTGAGGTGTAGCAGGGTCCTTCTTCCTGGGGACCTCTTCAGTCAGTGGGTTCCAGGTCTACAAACTAGCTCAGGTCTGGAAACTAAGGAATCATAACTTTATTGGGCGACAGTCCTTAGCATCCTGCTCATCTATCTATGATTTTTTTCTGCTGGTACAAATTAATAGGACTTTGTTGATTGCCTGTTTTGCCCCTAAGGCCACTATGTTTCAATAACCATTTTCGTAATTCTGTATGGATAAGGCCCTCTTAGTAGGTCATTATAATAATTGTGGATCCCCCTTCTGTTTCTGGTAATTACGCACTGTCACCTGGCCTCTATTGTTTTGGGGTCCTAGCATCCCCATTGTTATCAGTGAGTTAAGGTCTCTGTTAGCATCAGCCCTGGCTTGCAGAGAGCCACCACCAAACTTTTTAGCGATGCTCATGTCCTTTGCACCAATCCACTCTGTAGCCTTGGTAGATGGTGAGTCCGTTGGGCCTTTCCTTAGAAGACAATGATCATAACTTTGCAGCTGTATGTAACATAGCCATTCTAGCTACCCACTTCCTTGAGACTTTTAATCCCTTCTCATCCCACCTGCCGCCCTAGTAGTTCTGGCATTTCGGTTTCATTCAGTGATAGTCATTGTTTTTTCTATATTTTTAGGAGCCATTGTAGTAGCAAGTTCACATCTCATGGGAGTCCTTGCTGGGATGTTAAATCCTGTATTTGGAGATAATGCTCCCAATTCAATATTATTTTTCCTATCCAATTTTATGTTCTGGCACCCTGATCAAGCATCCTCTGAATCCAGTCCTATGCATACTCCCCAAGCCCCTAATGGCACATGCTGGCTTGGTATTGCATCTTTGAGGAAGAATCCTTTACCTCCATTATCAGGCACTGTACCTTCCCAACTACTTTACGCTATAACTTAATCCTAATTATAAGCTTACGGGCCAGAAGTCTTGGTAGGAAGTAGGGGTGTTGGGGGAGGGGAGAACATGTTGCCTCTGAGTAGAAGTCTCTGCAATGTCTTCTAGCATGGGAAAGTGATAGCTCTGAGTAGGGACGAGCAAGCCACACTGCAGACCAGAGGAGCCTGGGAAATAAAAATGTTCAGGAACACACCCAGATGTCCCCTCCCTGTGTCAGTGTGCTAGGTTTTCTCAACCATGGCCCTGACTTTGGTGTAAAAGACCTGCTATTTGGGGCATTTAACCATCTTTTAAGTCCAGTCACTCTAAAGTTCTGGTCTTGGTGCTCAGCTTTCTCCACCCTTGCCTGCAGATGTGAGCTTCTTTGTGTGCAGCAAAGAGGTGCTCTGGCTTTCGCACCTGACTTTCAATTGCTTAATACCCACTTTCAGCTGTTCACTCTTTATCTCCTTTCCCTTTCACTTATATTATTTCGTATCATTTTAGTTTAACTTGTCTCCCTCTCCAGAAAGTAAAGCTCCTCTAGAGCAGGGAACGTTATTTCATTCACGCTGTATCCGTAGCACCTTGAAAAATGCCTGCCACATAGTAGGCACCTTAAAAAGTTGGACTTGGATTTGGACTGTGTTTATAACGCTGAACTGCAGCACTTGCGTTGTGAAGTCACCGCACAAAAGTAAGCACACACAAAAAGGAGGCAAAAGCCAGATGCGGCTTGCCTTGCCGCTTTTCAGCCCTTTAGAAGGAGCTCGCGCCGGAATCCTTGCAAGCTCCCGCAGCCAGAAGTGGGCCTAAGATGCTCCTTGTGCGGCTGAGAGAGGGAAGGGTAAACGGGAAAAATGCGTGGAGGAGCTGAGGAAAGAGCCTCAGCTCCACAGTGTTCGCCTGAGAATTTATTGTTACCCATGGCAGCACTCGTTTTTAATGGATGGCGCTGGGATCGGGGCCGTGACTGCGAACAGAGAGCCCAGGCGCAGAACCCACGCAAACCCATCCGCCATTTTCCGAAACTAGTTTCCGCGGCAACCCCGCCCTATTGTGTACGCAAGAAAGAGAGGCGGGGCTTGCCGTGAGGGCCTAGCTCCGGAAACCGCACCCCGGCGTCCCCGTCGAGGATTAACAAAACGCCAAGCAGGAATTTAACAGTCGGCTGCCGAGGCGCGCCCTCGAGCACCAATGAGAGCGGAAGGAGGGGAACCGCTCTTGAGGAACACTCCGTATGTCCAACAATTATTGGCTGGAGGGCCCCTTCTTCTGTTTTGGTAGTGGCTGGACTTCCGTCTCCCGCCCACCCAATTGGCTTTTGTCTAGGTACTTCTGATTGGCTCCTCCTGGGTAGCGGGGGCGAGGTTTGGGGGATGGCCTTCATGGATTGGTAGATTTGAGCACCCGGCTCCTTCTCCTGGAAGGGGCTCGTCCTTAGCTCCTCACTGTCCTGTCTGCCGACCCGTACGTCTTTCCATCAACCCGTGCGCACGAATGGTTAAAAAAAAAAAAGAAAAAAGAAAAAAAAAAAAAAAAAAAGGGGCCAGCCAGGCCTCTAGCGCCCGGCGCGCGCCCTCAGCGAGGACCCGCGGGAGCTGCCCGTGACAGTGCCTGCGCTTTTTGAAACCGCAGAACCCGTTAGGGTCTTGGGGAAACTACCGTTCCGGCTGGTTCCAGAGCTCGTGCGCGCCGGGGCCGAGTGGCGGTCGCGAGGCGGCTCTTGCCTTTCGCGTGTCCGCAGCGTGGAGATCAGAACCGGCATTTTCAAAGGACGCCACCTCCAATCGCAGCGCTGGCGCGGGCGGAGGCTAAAACACGGGGGTCCTGAAACTAAGGAAAACGCGCCAAGTTCCCCTCCGTGGAGGAGTGGGGACGACCCTAGCGGTTCAGACGCTCTGCGAGCGGGACCACTGCTGGTTGCGCTCCTGGCCATCCCGGGGCGGGCGCGGGCGGGCGCCGCTCCGGGAATGTAGTTGGGGCCGGCTCAAGGCAGGACCGATTGGCGGCCCGGGTTCCCGCTCCTGGGAGCGGATGGTCACTCCCCCGCGGGAAGCGCGATTCGGGAAGCTTTTCCTCGGGTCGGGGACCTGGCGGGCTCCGGGCAGGGACTCACCTGTAGCACCCACACTAGTCCCGGTTGGACTCGCGGGCGTCACCGCCGCAGACCTCGCTTAGGGCCATGACCACCAGGTAAGGAGGGCCTGGGGAGGAGGGGCCGGTGCCCTGGCGCGGAGGCAAGTTCGGCCGGCGCCCGAGTTGGGCTGCCGCGAAGATCCCAGGGCCATTTGGGCCCTGCACCTTGCCGAGCCACCAGCCGAGCCCTCCGTGTCCTGGGCGGGGCGCCCCCTCCTGCCGCCGCTGGAGACTCGAGAAGGCAGGTGCGGGCTCGGCGTAAATAGGCCAACTCCACGGGCGAGGGGCCGGGAGCGGGGTGCGGGCCAAAGACGCCGCTGGCCAGCCTCCCGCCGTGCCTGGCAACCCAGTCCCAGCTCAGCTTCTCAGCTTGCTTTGCGTCCCCTAGAGTGGTGCAGGGTAGGGAGCAGAAAAAATGTTTTCACCCACGTTGTCCCGTGTCGGTAATTGCGAAATTTTGCCGCGCATTTTCTTTCACTTATAGTTTTCCCAGAAGTATTTAGAACGCCACGTGTCTTAAGCCTTTGGAGATGTTGCTTCACGTTTTTTTTTTTTTTTTTTGAAAAATAGGAATTGAGTCGTGTCATCTTATAAAGGAAAGAATTTGAGACTAATGGGACTGAGTGTTCATGCTGTCATTTGTTTAGAGACATTTCATATTCGATTCATTGTGTTTTTTGAGAAACTTGATTTGTAGCGATAGGATAAACATTTTTGATGTAACAACCCCCCAGTTATAAGGAAGGCTGGGAGCAAGAAATGATACAGCATAAGATGTGGCACCTGGTAAAATGTCCTATTCTCGACAGTGTCAAATGTTAGATCGTTGCTTTAAGGGGGCCAGGAGGTTTGGTTTATTGATTAAGATGACGATCCCATGTTTCAGCTACTTGAGCATTTTTTTTTTTTTTTCAATTAAGTCCGGTTACTCTGTTATTTAGAGAATCCAGTTTCTATCATTAATGCTCCTTAGCGCAGACTGGTTTATCATTCATAAGGTAGCATTTCATTAGAAGTATTGTGACCATGAGAATAAATCGAGTTGAAGACAGAATGGGGAGATTGGTCAAGTTTCTTTCTGTATTGAGTCTCAAAAATGGTGTCACCGCCGAATTCAGTATTGTGAACTCCAATTTGAGTGAATTTTGTGTAGTTCATTTTACTACTCTGTATCTGTATTTGAAACTCCCTGCTGAGGTTTTGGGCTCTTAAGTAATTTTAATATTTCAGTCAGATAATTTTCCCCCAGATGTCCTAATGAAAAATAGGACTGATGTATAAAGTAATTATCACAAATACTGTATTTTTTCATCTGAAAGTTTTACTGTAAAACTGGGTAGAAAGGTTGCAAAAGGCAAACCAGATTATCTTTTTACCTACTCAAAGCAGTATTTTTTTTAATCTATAGTTTAAAAGAAGTTTGGAAAACTAGTAGAATATCGTGGTTTTGCAGTTTTTTATACCACTATCCCAGCTTTGTACGTGTTTTTGTCCTTCACTCAGGTTTTTTAGGTGTAACTGGACACTAGATCTATGCCTTTTCTTGTATACAAATTATACTTTAAGCTTTGTAGAGATTTTATTTTATATATTTGTATTAATAACTAGAAAGAGCCTTAGGAGGGAGGACTCATTAATGTCCGGCACTACTTTGATTTTCCATTCATCTGTTTCCTACTTTGTATTTTAAAATTAGAAATGGTAGTTGCTAAGTCAATACTACTACTTTACTGTAGGTCCACTAAATGGGGTATTCTGTGTTGTGGTCCTTAATCCATAGCAGGCTGATAAAACTTTAGTATCTTATATTTTTTTGTTCTTTAGGAAAGACAATGTGGCAAGCTGCCAGGTATTAGGTATTCAAATATGAAGTTCTAATTTTTACCATTCTTTGGTAAATTTGTTTTCAAAATTTATGATTTTGTTGCCTACAACTGATAACTGAAAACTAACGAAACCCTTTCTCTGTGAACAACAGACATAATTATGGTGATTACAGCTTCTCTCTATGAATAAATTCTTGTCAGCTCCTTGGGATTTGAAAAGAAAATGCCTGGTGTTATACCTAGTGAAAGTAATGGACTTTCAAGAAGTAGTCCATCAAAGAAAAACAGACTTTCTTTGAAGTTTTTTCAGAAAAAGGAAACTAAGAGAGCCTTGGATTTCACAGATTCTCAAGAAAATGAAGAAAAATCTTCTGAATATAGAGGATCTGAAATGTATGTATCTTATTTTATGTATATTTCTGTGCTTTTAAAATTCTGCATCAATGACGAAACAGTGAACTTAGGTTGATATCTCTAGTCTGACCTTATAGTCCATAGAAGCAAAGAAAAGTACACTAAAGTGTACTTTTATTGAAACAAGTCTAGCAGTTTATAGTAGGAACAGAGCAAATCTGGTGGTTCCCCAAGGGATCCCATTCGTAATATTAACTCATTAACATTGTGTTCAGCCATTTAGACTAACTTGGAGAAATATTTATTGACTAAAATTATCTTTCAGAGTTTAAACTTGATTATTTGTAGTGCAACACATTTGTGTAAGGGTAAAGAACTCTTTTTTTTTGGTTCAGAAGACTTGATGGTTATCTGAGGTACTTAAACTCCTGTAGTCTTGTGTAGGTATGTAGTCATACTGGTTGGAGGTATACAATTGCAAATTATATTTTAGATAAACTTAAAAATAAGAAATGCTTTCGATGCGAATAAATTCTTTAGTGACTGAAAATAAGTTATAACAAAATGGAATGCTTTATTCTACCAATAGCTGTTATAGCTGGAGTCTACACTAGCTTCCTAGTCAACAAATAGGCTCTCTACTGGGTGACTAAAGTGGATTTGGTCCCACATACAATTTCCTAATATCTACCAATAATCAGTTGAGATTGTGTGAACCTTTTGTGTATCAGCATTCATGCTTATAAATACTTTGAGGTGCTAGAGTAGTAATAGCTAGAGGCTGTAAAATAAATAAAAATACTGGAAGGACCTACCTGTTAAAGTGAAGTAAAAGAATGATAAACGTGAACATTTATTTTTAAGTGAGGGATAGCTGTATAAGTCTCTTCATAGATTTTATAGCTATATAATTCTCTTCATAGACTCGAGGACTCAATCTTTATTAACAGAATTTTTACTTAGGGCACCCTCTTCCAAGTACTGTTGTAGTCAAGTTATTTCCAGGTTTCTATTCAGAGTTAAACTACTTGTTTAAGATGTCACAGTAAGCTAAACAAATCATAGTACCAGTTCCTCAATTTTCTACTCTGTAAAATGGGATTAGCATCCTCGTAAGGGAATTATTTTGAGGCTTATTGAGTGTGATAACATTTTTAAATGCTTTTAAAACTTTTATTCTGGGTATATTGCAGTTTTTGAGCCTGTACACTTCTCTTAAAATGTTATCTGAGTAAAATCCATATACTTTTAAGATTATACAATTTTGGGGAAAAGACTAAATCTAAGGAAGTAATATTTCCACTTTGTTTCTTTAAGATACTACTTTATTATACCTTTCTCCCCTCTATACTTAATAGTGATCAAGTTGTTCCCGCAGCACAGTCCTCACCTATAAACTGTGAGAAGAGAGAAAACTTGTTACCATTTGTGGGACTGAATAATCTCGGCAATACTTGTTATCTTAATAGTATACTTCAGGTAAATTGACGATTTTGCTATATAATAAAACTTGTAGTAGGCAAAGAATGATGTATAACATTCAATGTTTCTGAGCATTTCAGGTTATTGGAAGACTTTAATTGTCCATACTGATTTTGCCTTTGATTGTAAATAAACCTGAGAGGGCTAAAATAATAATATGAGGAGTCTTCAAAAAGTTCATGGAAAGATTTGTATTATCTTTTCTATTTTTACACAAACTTTTCGAAGTACCCTCGTAATAATTCTAGGTTGAACAGTACTAAACTTCCTTTGGGATAAGAGAAAATGATATGTTAAATAAAGGTGAAATAGCAAAATTCAGTAGATCTTGGTTAAATGGAAGATTCCAGACCTTAAATTTCTCTGCCTGATTCTTGGTGGTATGTATCTTACACCTTGGAACTATATTGATGTTATGTTGTGTGCCGTTTGTAACCTTAAGTCTTTGCAATATCCGCCCAGGCTCAGTGCTTTGTGCCAATGAGGAGACAGTGGGCTACTACCAATGAGGTGAGGCAGAGGACAGGTTTTGACATAAAAGTTAATCTCAGAATTTTAGGTAATGTATATTAAAAGTGCTTGACAAAAAGCATGGTAGTATTTTAATGATTTTAGGTACATTGTTGTTTTTTCAGTAAACATTTAGACAGTCTCACTTTTTATAGGTATTATATTTTTGTCCCGGTTTTAAATCTGGAGTGAAGCACTTATTTAATATTATATCAAAGAAGAAAGAAGCTCTAAAGGATGAAGCCAGTCAAAAAGATAAGGTAAAAAAATGAAAGAACAGAAAATAGCCCCCACCCCAAAGTAAATTAAATGGGGGGAAATCATTTGCTTAGAAGTAGGGGGTTAGTTGGTTAGCTCAGTTGATAGATCATGGTGCTGACAACACTAAGGTTAAGTTTGGATCCCTGTACTGGCTAGCTGCCAAAAAAAAAAAAGAAAAAGATGAAAAAGTAATAGGTACACAAGAGGATTTGGGAGGAGGAGATAACATTAGTATTTCTCTGTTAACTATAACAGAATTAAATTTCTCAGTACTTTATATTGTTAGAAAGGCAATTATTTTTCATTCTTGCATGGTAGCTAACTACATTATCCCCTTTTACAGAATGTTTTCTCTAGTACTCCAATTTATTGTTTACCAGACTTTTGTCATACCCATGTCCCACTATTATTTATCCATTTTCTTTTTTTAAAAAAAAGATGACCGGTAAGGGGATCTTAACCCTTGACCTGGTGTTGTCAGCACCACGCCCTCCCAAAGTGAGCCCACCAGCCATCCCTATATAAGGATCCGAACCATTGGCCTTGGTGTTAGCACCACACTCTCCCAAGTGAGCCATGGGCCGACCCCAATCCATTCCATTTTCAAATTGACTTAAAAGTAACTAAAAAAAAATCTTCTTAAAATTAAAAAAAAAAGTTTATTTGTATATCCCATAAAATTAATGCTATAAGGAAATTAAACTTAGAAAACCTAGTATTTAGTGAGACTAAGACAAGAAGGGGGAAGGTATTTAATTTGTTCATAAATGAAATATTGGTTTATGTGTTTCTTGACAGGGAAATTGCAAAGAAGATTCTTTGGCAAGTTTTGAACTGATATGCAGTTTACAGTCCTTAATCATTTCAGTTGAACAGCTTCAGGCTAGTTTTCTTTTAAATCCAGAGAAATATACTGATGAACTTGCTACTCAGCCAAGGCGACTGCTTAACACACTCAGGTATACCCTATAATATAATTTTATAATTTCAGTTTAGCTACTTGTTTCTATCTTTGGAGGATAGTGATATGTGAACAAACAGGAATAAAGGGCAAGGAAAAGAAAAACTCTAATCCACAGTCCTTTATATCCCAGAAACTCGGAAAACAGGACTTTTTTTTTTTTATAAATTTGGTACTAAATTCATTAGATCTGAATTTGTATGAAACTATTTAGAAAAACTCTAATCCACAGTCCTTTATAGCCCAGAAACTTGGAAAACAGGACTTTTTTTTTTTTTATAAATTTGGTACTAAATTCATTAGATCTGAATTTGTATGAAACTATTTATAGTCTTTACTCACTTTTATCTCTAATGTGAATATGCATACATTTTTTCTGTAGAAATAGTAATGTGTTTAATTCTAGGGTACTGCCCCATATCATGTTGGTGATACATATTTTGCTTATGTGCCATACCATTTTTCTGAGTCTGAAAATTTTTGAATTCCCAAACATATGTGGTCCTAAGGATTTCATACTAGCAACTGTACAACTATATTTGTGTAAGAACTGTAAATTCTCAAGTCTTCTATTTTTGTTATATGTGCTTAGAAGAGAACTATAATTGGATTAGATTGCTTTGTGTTATTGTCTTAAAAAAAATCAAACTTTATTCTGTATATAAAACAGCCTTATTTAAGAAAATTATACTAATAGGGTAAGTCTTTAAAAAAAATCCATTTAATTTTGTTTATACATAGACCTAGGTGCAATATATTGTTATACCTTTGTAAAGAGGGATTGTAGCATGGTGGCCAAGAGCAGGTTGAATCCTGGCTTTGCATCCTAATGAGATCTGTGACCTTTGGCAAGTTGCTTATGCTCTCTGTGACTTATTTTCCATATGAGGATTATATATGCATATAATATAAAAAGCATTTTGAATAAAACGTGGTATATGGTAAACATGTTAAGTATTAGCCATTATTAATATATTTAGAGGAGGATCAAAGTATTGAGATAATAGAAATAGGATAAAATTTGTTTTTGCTTTTAGTTAAAGGTAAGAACTTTTAAATTAGTACCTGTATAAATGTCTGGATTTTTAAAATGAACTAATTTATGATGTCCCTGTAAATAAATTCATTTCTGTATAGAAAGATTTTTCTTTTATGTACTATATCTTCAAAACTAGAATAGATGAAATGGAAATTTTTATTTGTAGGGAACTCAACCCTATGTATGAAGGATATCTACAGCATGATGCACAGGAAGTATTACAGTGTATTTTGGGAAACATTCAAGAAACATGCCAGCTCCTAAAAAACGAAGAAATAAAAAATGTGGCAGAATTATCTACTAAGGTAGAAGAATATCCTCACCAGAAAGAAGAAATGAGTGTTATTAACATCATGGAGATTGACAATATGAGGCATTCTGAAGACTATGAAGAAAAACTACCAAAAGGAAATGGGAAAAGAAAAAGTGACACTGAATTTGGTAACATGAAGAAAAAAGTTAAAGTATCCAAGGAACACCAGTCATGGGAAGAGAACCAAAGACAAACTAGGTCAAAAAGAAAAGCTACGGGTGATACATTAGAGATTCCTCCTAAAATAATCCCCAAGTACGTTTCTGAAAATGAGAGTGCAAGATCCTCACAAAAGAAATCAAGAGTTAAAATAAATTGGTTAAAATCTGCAACTAAGCAACCCAGCATTCTTTCTAAATTTTGTAGTCTGGGAAAAATAACAACTAACCAGGGATCCAAAAGTCAATCTAAAGAAAGTGAATATGATCTTGAAGAGGAACTGGGGAAGTGTGAAAGTGATAGGACAACTAATGGTTGTGGATTTGAATCTCCAGGAAATAATGTTAAACCTGTAAATGTTAATGAAGTTAAGTCCATAAACAAAGGTGAGTATAATTCTTAGACTTTGATAGGTAGGAGCATTAACAGCTGCAGAATTAGGATTTAGTTTTTTTAGATACATGTACAATATAATCTATGGCTAAAATTTTTGTTTTAAAAGAAGGAAATTTAACACAATGTAAATTGTGCTTTAAAGTGCTGTGCTTAGATGTGTGTTTATATATTCTATTACATATATATGTAATGTCATTAAGGTAATGTTAATTATGGTTTATAAACTAGAGAAGTTCAACACATTTTAATGGAAAGACTACATTTTTTCTTTATATATGTGCAGTATTTGACATAAACTCATGAAGGAAATTACATTTTGTGAAGTTTTTTAAGTAGAGGACTAAGTTAGTTAGGCCTTACTTGAACTAGATTTCTTCCTAGTCTTGTCCAGATATACAGATCTCAGGGAAAATGAATATTATTGATATGGTTAAAGGTTTTACCAAAAATAACATCCTTATTCTGGGGTTATTCTATAAGGGGGTGTCTTTGGGAAGGGAGTTAATACACACCTGACTCTTCTTTTTTTTTTTAATATTCAAGGCTATCATTACATTGATTTACATTTCATAAATAGGGTACCTCTTAATGGTATGATATATGAAAATGGGGCTTTTATTCATACCATATTTAGATGGGAAAATGATTATTTGGGCTATACTGAAGACTAATCTGTATAGACTTATATTTTCCTATTTTTATTTTAGGTGTGGAGCATATTGGCTTTGAGCTTGTTGAGAAATTATCGATATATGAAAATGGGGCTTTTATTCATACCATATTTAGATGGGAAAATGATTATTTGGGCTATACTGAAGACTAATCTGTATAGACATATTTTCCTATTTTTATTTTAGGTGTGGAGCATATTGGCTTTGAGCTTGTTGAGAAATTATTTCAAGGTCAGCTGGTATTAAGGACTCGTTGCTTGGAATGTGAAAGTTTAACAGAAAGAAGAGAAGATTTTCAAGACATCAGTGTGCCAGTACAAGAAGATGAGTTTTCCAAAGTAGAAGAGAGTTCTGAAAGTAAGCAAAATTGGAGTCTTGTATGGACCATGGAATAATTACAGTTTTCTTCAACAATACAGTCTAATAGTAGTTTGCATAATTATGGAGAAAAAAAAGCTGGCTTTTAGTATCCTTGGTCTAATATAATCTTTCTGCTTATCAAGCTTTACTTGTTAATACCATTTGGAAAATTGTGGCATCTTTATTTTGGTACATTGTTGTGTGAGAGTGGAAAAATGAAATGCTTTAATTTTCTTAAACGTTTGGGGACTTGAATCTTTGAGAACTACTGAGGTTATTTTTAACAATATTTGAGACACTGTTATGTTTAGTGTAAACCACCAAAAGTATGGAAATGTAATGGGAAATCATGGGACTGGTTTACCTGTCAGATAATGAAAATTGGCTATTAAATATAATATGGAATATTATATAAGTATGGAATGTAATATATATAATATAATTATATATAGGATGAGGAATAATTATATAATATAAATATGGAAAAATACTTTCTGAAAGTAGAAAATTCTAATTATTTGGGAGTGTGTTAGTTGATTGAAATTGAATACAAATTTTGAACATGAAACTTTGTGGTTTAATTTTTGAATGTCTGAGAGATAATTATTTGAGTCAAAGGATTCTCTTTTGTAGTTTCTCCAGAGCCAAAAACAGAAATGAAGACCCTGAGATGGGCAATTTCACAGTTTGCTTCAGTGGAGAGGATTGTAGGAGAAGATAAATATTTCTGTGAAAACTGCCATCATTATACTGAAGCTGAACGAAGTCTTTTGTTTGACAAAATGCCTGAAGTTATAACTATTCATTTGAAGTGCTTTGCTGCTAGTGGCTTGGAGTGAGTATCATAAAAAAAAAGGTATATGATGAAGATGAGTTGCTATAGAAGAGAAGTTTTGTTCAAAATATTATGATAGTAGGAATATAAGTACTGGAATGAAGTGATTTGTAATGATTGCCTTAGAAAAGTTTTGTTCTTAACAGTTTCCCTGTAAAAATGCATCCATTTAAATCCTTTTCGTATGAATACATATTCTATTATGTATGATTTCTTTGTACATCTTTTCATATTCATTCCTGCTTAGATGCTAGGAGCAGGATTTAGTTTTAGTAGAACTGATTACAGCAAGGAACAAATTTTGTACACATAAAAATTTTTTTAAAGGGAGAAAAACAAAATTTTTTTTAGTTTTAAGGTAAGCCAGGAAGTCAAACTATTGAACAGCTTCAGACATTTTCTTCTATAATTGAGAATTTGAAGGTCTAAAAGCTATTAAAAAGATATACATAAAAATGCTAATTACATTTTTGATAGTTGGTGGCTTTTTCTGACATGTATGTCATTGTACATTTTACTACTTTGTACGTTAATGACTTTTTTGAAATTACCGTGAGGGCTTCCCAGTAGTGCTCACACACTTTAGTATATCAGAAGATGACATATAGTCCTCTTTTTTCAGTGGATTTTTTCTTTGCTACAGTACTGTTTATTTTTGTTCCCAAATCTTAGCAGAGAGACTTCACATTAAAATAACTAAAATATAAAGGATTTTGGTTTTAAGTTTATTCTTAAAATGCCATTTATTTTCCCACTTCAGAGAAAATAAAGGAAATGAGGGGGGAAATGATATATTCGCCACAGAAACATCTGAATGTTAGCAGTTATTTTAGTATTTTTTGTTTGCGTATATATTATACATATTCAAAATTGGGGTCTTGTTTTTTTCTGCTTTTTTTGTTTATTCGTATGAGCACTAAATATTAAGGGTTCATTCAGATTTTTTACTTGGTTTCTTTCACATTGGGTGTAAAGTTTTGAATTTATAACGGAACCACAGGAAAACTTTTTTTTTTTTCTTCCAAAGGTTTGATTGTTATGGCGGTGGACTTTCCAAGATCAACACTCCTTTACTGACACCTCTTAAATTGTCACTAGAAGAATGGAGTATAAAGCCAACTAATGACAGCTATGGATTATTTGCAGTTGTGATGCATAGTGGTATTACCATTAGTAGTGGGCATTACACTGCTTCTGTTAAAGTTACTGATCTTAACAGTTTAGAAATAGATAAGGAAAATTTTGTGGTTGACCAAATGTGTGAAATAGGTAAGCCAGAACCATTGAATGAGGAAGAAGCAAGGGATGTGGTTGAAAATTACGATGAAGAAGTATCGATTAGAGTCGGAAACACACAGCCAAGTAAAGTTTTGAGCAAAAAAAATGTAGAAGCTATTGGACTTCTTGGAGGACAGAAGAGCAAAGCAGATTATGAGCTACACAACAAAGCATCTAATCCTGATAACCAATGTTTTTAAGAGTAGGAGGATGACTGTTCTAACTCAAGTCAAAATAATTGGTGTTGCATGATAATTAAATCATATAAATTTTAAAGTCCTTGATTTTGTCACTTAGATGCATGTGAAACAGCCCAAACTCTTTCTAAACATAACTTAATGAGAAGTGACCTAGGGGTTACTTAATATTCTTATAACTATCTCTGTCCCACCCCTCAAAGAAGAGGGGAGAGTATGTTTGTTTTTATTGTTTTTATGAGTTTCCATTCTTGATTACTTGCCTTGCCTTATTATTCATTTGGCTCTTCTTTAGTAGATTTTTGAGGTTATGCTCTTCTGACTGCTCAGATTTGGCCCAACGATGTAGGCTTATCTGAAAAATCTGTGATTCAGTGTTTGACTTGATGTGTAGATAAACAGGAATTTGATATAGTATTGACCTTTATTAAGCTAAGCTGGAAGGACTATTATCCATCACCTATGCTCTCAGGAGAAGTAGACATCTTTGAATTGTTTTCTACATCAAGTATAGATGGAAAGCACTGTATTCTGTTCTAAATCTGACTTGTTCTTTAATGATTCATGTAACTATTCAGTAGGTGAAGGGGATTATGAATGATGCCATTCTATAAGCTACAATACTACACAAAAAAACACTCAGAACACTTCCAGAAATCATTAATATGCATTGTTTTGGAAAAACTTGCCAAATAATTGAAATGTTATTTCTCAAAAAAATTTTTCTGCATTACCTGTTCATATAATTTTAAATGAATTGGTTAATTTTTTTTTTTTTTGTCTTTTTTGTCTTTTTCCGTGTCCGGCAACGGATTGCAACCCTCAGTGTTGCCCCCGTACCGGACCGGGGACCGGCAACGGGATCGCAACCCTCGGTGTTGCTCCCGTGCCTCGCTCAGCCAGTGAGCGGGAACCGGTCCGTATGTGGGATCCAAACCCTCGGGCGGGAGCGCCACCGCGCTTCCCAAGCGGCGCACTATCCAGTGCGCCACCGGGCCGGCCCATTAATTGGTTAATTTTAAAGCAGCTAATTTTACACGTATGTGCTTTGTAAAAATCTATATCAGTAACTATGGTGTATTTAACTGGTAGATAAACATCAGTAAACTCCAGCTCTGTGTCTTCATATTGATGTAAAACAGCTTTAAAGCAGATTTGTAACTTACTGATTTAGATCATTAAAATTTGATGACTGCCTTATTTAATTTGATACATAGGAATCAGTTGCTGAGAGTCATGAGGTTCATATTAATACCATTGGTTTAATAAAAATGAGTCATAAAGATAAGCTATGACTGGTATTAGCTATCCCAGTATTTAAGTCATCAAGACAAAAATTTTATGAGTTACTTCTGTAATCCTAAATCCCTTTTTGTGGTATCTAAATGGAAAATAATTTAAAAACGAATTTTGAGAATTCACAAACCAGTTACCATAATCTATCTTCATGCATTAACGCATTCGTTTATTTAATTTGGTGCTCTTTGGGCCCATATAGTGACTGTCAATTTGGATTTTCATTTTGCTAATTTTGGAACTAGTTCTTGAATCAACTCAAGTCATTCTTTGCCTTTGTCAGTAAAAAAAAATTAAGTCTCACTCAGTAAAATTAGTGTAAACATTCACATATTTAATAGTACCTTTAAAATAAGCATTACTACATTTAAAATGGTTCCAGAATTAATCTATAAATGGTAATATAAATTAAAAAATACGAACTTAAAAGTAAACAACATTAGCTATGGTATAAATAACGGTAATATATAGTGTACCTTTGAATCATTGAAATGTCTTAAAAAAAGATAACAGCATGTTCCAGAACAGTAAAAACCATAGCCATGATTCTCAAACTTTAGAAATCTACATTTGATATTGTTTTGGCCACTCCATTCTTCAGGGATGTATAATGCTATAATTTTCAGAATTACATCCCAAGTTGTATTTTTCAATTGATCTTCTTTTCATACTCAGTGTTGAATACATGGTTCTTTTCAAATGAATAAAACAAGTGCATTTACTTTAGAGATCCATTTTGCGAAGGCTCATTCTGCTGAAGGAATCTCTGGGGGAAAATGAGAGGATATAGTTATAAGAAATTTTTTGCATATACCTTTAAAATGTTTTACGTGCTTTTTTCTGCCACAGTTATCTCAAAGTTTTCCCACCAGTTCTTACTAACTTTCAAGTTACATCCTAAATACTCTGCCTTATATATTCTAGCGTACAGATTCCTCTATAGATTAGAAATGTATTATAGTAACAACATTGCCGAGTTCATTGATCGTGTATTAATTTGTCCCATAGGTGCTGTAGATATTATAAGATATGGACTTAGGGGCTAATGGCAAAAGGCAGGTGTTTTGTTAAAATATTAAATTTTAAGTCTTAAAAAAGTGGTTCTCAAACTTTGTCTTGGGTCCTTTCATGAACTTAAAGATTGACCCCAGAAATCTTTTAAGTGAGTTATATATTGATATTTACCACTTTAGAAATTAAGGAAATTTTAAATTACTTTATAAAATAATCCAGTACATGTTACTGTAAATAGCATTGTTTATTAAAATAACTTGCAAGAAATTTTAGAAGGGTGGCACTCTTACATATCTAATGTCTGGCTTAACAGAAGGCCTAGATTCTCATATCTGCTTCTGTATTCAGTCTTAGAGCATCACATCTTTTGTAGTTTTTGGAAAATTCCACTGTACCCTCACAAGAAAATGAGTAAAAAAAGGCAAATAATATTTGGGTTTAATATGAAGTTAGTTTTGACTTTAGGAACCTCCTGAAAGGGTTTAGGGACTCCCCTCTCATGGGTCTTAGATCATACTTGGACAACCACTATCTTAATACATATATGCCTACTTCAAAATATTCTAGATTTTGTAAATCAACAAAATTAAAAACTCAAATTCTAAGGAATTTTTATTTTATTTTATATCTAAAGAAGTTAAGAGTGAAGGGGATAATATTCTTGAAATACCCCTTCATGTATTTTCCTTTATCTTAAGTTGGTTTCTTTTGCTTATCCTTGCCTGCTGTTAGGTCAAGCCATGAGGCTTATTATCTCCGTGAAAGAAGAGGATAGATATAAACATCATATTCAGCTTTGAATCTCAAAGCTCCTTGAAAGCTAGATACTACTGTTCATCAAGAAAAGGGTTTTTCTAAATTTCAAAAAATTGCCTGCAAATATTAGGAATTAAAGTCTGGAAGATTGGCTCTACAGTAGATCACAGAGGATGGCAAAATTCAGGATATGATGTAAGGGGAAGTTTCCTTCAGATAGGAATACAGCCTTTCCAAGGAAAGCAGTTGGATAGGAAGCAGTTCTGAAGGAACTGAGACTGGGATTAGGCAACTGCTTCTCTCAGGGACCCAGCATCCTCATCCTCTGGGACCTCTGACCTCTGGGTATAAGACTGGTGGAGACTAGTATATTGTTTCCATTTGGGAATTTTGAGAGGAAACCACCTTCTAGGGTGTCTCACATCAATATAGGATGGTGGAAGCAAGATTTGGTTTTGCTGAGAAAGGATCTCAAAGAGGCCCCCTAGTCTCCCTCTGTTCCTATAGATTGTGGAAGAGATTCGGGTGATCTACACGCTTCTTGTGGGGGACATGACATACATCAGGCAGTCAGTAGACATTTTTTGAATGAATGAGTAAACAGTTTTTTCATAGGTCTAGATACAAAAATATTAGACCACTGATGAACAGGTACCAATTCCTAGGTGGTTAATGCATCCACATTCTGTTTTCATCCACATTCTGTTGAAGCAACTTCAACAGCATTCCAAATATCAATTTATCAGATAATTAAAAATAGATAAAATTTTAAACTTTATTTCAAAGAAAAAGATGGCAAAATATCAATGCCACTATAATTCAATAGTTGTATGTAAATTTGGTTTCAAAATGCAAAAAGGGCAATTTACTTTTAATAATTATTGTGTCCTTTCCAGAATTCAGGTGCTAAAAAGTAAAATGTCAGGCCATGTCCTAGGAACTTTACATCTGTAATATCATTTAATCTCCACAACAACCTCATCAAGGTAAGGACTGTCTTCTCATTATACAGAGGAAAGATCTAAAAATTAGATTAAATTGCTCATGTAGAACTGAGATTTGGTTATAGAAAATTCCATATAATTTCCATTTCTAATTTGTCACACTTAGAAAGTGGAGAAAAATATGAAAGCCTTTTTGATAATGGGGATTTAATACAGATCTAGAAGAATATACTGTATACTATTTACTATTATGACTGAGGGAAATGAATGCCTGGCTCCTGATACACTCTAGTAAATTCTCCCACAAAAGTACCAGAATGTGTGACAGGATTTTAAAAGGAACAGTTTTAGAAGGCCAGACATGTGTGGTGTCCAGGTTAGTATGAGCACTTAACACAATTTGATTCTTGAATTGCAGGAAGAACTGACTTTTATCTTGTAGACTGATTACTGCATAGGTGATAAAAGGCTTATACTTGTTGAACTTATTAGGTTTTAGAGGACACAATATCTGAAACCATGTAATTAGAAAAGTTATACTAATTCACTATGAAATAATTCAAGCAGATTTCATTTTTCTAAAGAACTCCAAAATAAGCATACCTGTGGCAGGTGACGGGCAGTACTGCCTTGTATAACTGAGGGATCTTTCTGTTTATCAGGGGCTGTAGGGCCTCTTTAAGGCGATGATAATTTCTCTCTAGTTCCCTTTGATACTCCTTTTGATCTGGCCCAATTAAGCTCTTATTTTTTCTTAAGGCATCTTCACACCTAGGAAAATTGGCACATTATCAAACGCTTTCCTCTGGCATAGTTTGTGGGCTTAGTGCCATATATATAAATATTATAGATATATATATTATTTTATTATATATATATTTTATCATATTATTTGCCATCATGAAGACATTCATTTTTTCAGCTGCATGTTAAACAATCCTCTTGTTTTTGGTTTAAAGCAGGGAACAGATTATTAACTGAGTTCCTTTAAAATCTAATCAACACGTACTTCCACCAGTTTTCATTAAATTGAAAAATTATACTTTTTAATGTTAAATCTGAAGCCATTTTTCCACATCACCCCTAGACTAGAAGCTCTTTAAGGGATGGTACTCTTGTGGCACCAATGGCATCTGGCACAGTGTTTTGTCTGTGTCCAAAGAAATGTTTCTTAAATGAATAGATATTGATGACAATCCTTTATGCAACTTATTCAAATATTTAAGAAAAATATCTGGACCCCCAGTAAAGGCAGGATATTAAAAAACAATATATATTTATATATACATACATCAATACTTGTGGAATGCAGCTAATGTGTTGCTTAGGGGAAAATATATAGCCTTAAATGCTTATATTAGAAAAGAAGGCTAAAATTGAAGAGTTAAGCAACTTAAAAAGCTGGAAGAAACTCAAAGTATAAGGAAGAAAATAATTAAATTTAAAAATATAATAGAATATCAAAAATTGTGAAAGTTGGTTCTTTGAAGAAACTAAAAAACTAGAAGAAAAAAAAAACTAAAAATATAGATTAAGCTCTAGCAAGGTTAAATGAGAGAAGGCCAAATATCCCTACTAGAAGTTTAACATGTAACATAAAGTCAAATACAGAAGAAGTTGAAAAAGGCACAGAGGATATTATATGCAATTTTTTTTTTCCTTTTGGATGACTGGCTGGTAAGGGGATCCTCCTAACCCTTGACCTTGGTGTTATCAGCACCAGGCTCTAACTAAGGCCAGCCATATTATATACAATTTAATGCAAAAAACAAAAAAACAAAACCTGAAATTACAATTTTCTACATGAATATAATTTAACAAATTAGACTCAATTAAGAAAAAATGTGAATAATCCTAAAATCATCATATAAATTGAATCAGTTAAGTCACAAATCTATTCACAAAGAAAACACACTAACAAGCAAATTCTACTAAACATCCTAGGGACAAATAACCCCAATGTAACACAATTATTCCAGAGTATATAAAAAACTATTCGAGACTGTAGGGTGGGGGAAAGAACTATTCCCAAGAGGAGTTCCCAACTCATTTTTCAGGCTAGGATACCAAAACCTATATAAGAACTATATAAGAAAAAATTATAATTATTATAATTATAATTCAATCTCACCCATAAAAATAATTGCAAAACTCCCTAACAAAATAATAGAAAACTGTTCTAATAATGTGTCTCACACACACTATTACCAAGTTGTTTATCCCTGGAATAAAGGAAAGTTTGGGTTAAAAATAGGAAATCAATAAATGTAACTCATCCCATTGAAAGATTAAAGGAGATGCAGAAAAAAGCATTTGATAAAATTTTAAAACTTGTCATGATAAAAACTCAGTATAACTACAAATCGGTGGGAACTTCCTTAACCTAATTAAAAATATCTACAAAAACCTGCAGCAAACATATTATTCTCAAGAAAATGATGCCTTCTATAACTATTCCTATTCAACATAGTAGTGGAGGTCCTAATTATCAGCATAAGACATGAAAAAGATCCTACAGAAAAAGTATTAGGATTAACAAGTGAGTTTGGTAGTCTTATGTAAAATTAATATATGTCAAATGCATTTCTGTATACAAGCAAACAGAAAATATAATTTTAAAAGGCACATTAACAAAAGCATAAAAATAATAAATAATAAGGAATAAATAGGAAGATGTATAAGATCTCTATACAGAAAATTTTAATAATATTAAGAAAACATTTAAAAGATCTACGTAAATGGAGAAATATACCACATTCATGGATGGATGTCAATAAGGATGTTGTAAGATGTCAATTCTCCTCCAATTGATCTATATATTCAGGTTACTTGTTGTTTTTTGGGGTGAGGGAGTGACAAATCGATTCTAAGTTTTTTAAAAAGTTATATAAAAGAAAAGGGCCAAAAATAGTCCTTGAACAAAACAAGGCAGGAGGAATTGCTCTACCAGATATCAAAGCTTATTATAAAGCTGTGGTAAGACAGTATGATACTGGCTCAAGGAGAGATAAAGAGAACCATGTGAGAGAATGTAGATCCCAGAAACAGATGCAAACAAACATGGGCACTTAATTTACAATAGTGATGACACTGCAGAGCAGTGGAGAAAGGGCAATCTTTTAAATAAGTGGTGTTGGTCCTTAACTTGAATGATACACAAAAACGATCTCAAGCAGATTTTTTTTTTTTTTCCTAACCAGTAAGGGGATTGCAACCCTCTCAGCACCATGCTCAGCCAGTGAGCGCACCGGCCATCCCTATATAGGATCCAAACCCGCGGCCTCGGCACTACAAGCGCCACACTCTCCCAAGTGAGCCACGGGGCCGGCCCTCAAGCAGATTTTTTTAAAACTAAAACAGTTTTTTTGTTCTTGCATTATCCCCGTTTTGTTTAACCTGTTTTGAATTTTAGAGATACCTTTATATATATATATATATATTTGGCAGCTGGCCAGTACAGGGATCTGAACCCTTGACTATACTGACTTTTAGAAGTCAACATAGAATACTACTATGACCTCAGGTAAAAAACACTTTCTTAACCAAGAAACTAGTCATAAAAGAAAAGACTGAATCATTTAACTACATTAAAAAAAAAGATAACCTCCAAATTCAGAGAAGATATTTGTGATACTTAAAAATAAGGCATTATGTATCCAGACCATATAAATACTCTTAGAAATCAGTAAGAATAAGATCCAGTAGAAAAATGGCAAAAGACTTGATCATGTAATTTTACAAAAGAGGAAAGAGAAATGGCTAAAAAACACATGACCAGATATTCAACCTCTTTTGTAATCAGGGAAATGCAAATTTAATCCATGATTACATACCATTTCACATCCGCCACATTGGTAAAAGTTAAAATGTTAGACAATATTAAGTATTGGTGATGACATATAGTAATAGAAACTCAAACACTACTGGTGGGAATGTAAATTTAGCTTACACCCTTTGAAAAAAATTTAGTATTGTCTGGTTGAAGATGAACCTATGAATCAATAACACTATTCTTAGGTTATAAGCCCTAGAAAATCTCTTGTACATGTACATACAGAAACAGGTGGAGGAATATTTGAGTACTACTCTTTGTAACTAACCCCCCCCCAAAAAAACCCAAAACGGAAAACAACCAAATATCCATCAACAGAAGAATGAATAAATCATGGCATATTCATACAATGAGAATATATAGAAATTAACTAGAGTAACACTTATTATAGATATATCTAACAAACACTGAAATAGCAAGTCACAATAGAAATATATACACTGTTCATTTATGTAAAGAATGCAAAACTTAGGGATGCATTCATTTATGGTAAAACCATAAAGACAAAAAAGAATATGATAAATATGAAATTCACAATACTGGTTACCTAACAAGGAAAGGAGGAAGATGATATCAGAGGAGGGCCCATGGGGAGGGGATGTCCAAGTAATGATTGTGCTCTATTTCTTAAGCTGGGTGCTAAGTACAAGACTTTTTTCTTCCTATTCTTTAAAGGAAATGTTATCAACATTATGTTCAATCTATTCAAGATTTAATAAAAACTAGTTTTAAAAGACAAAACCCCCGAACAAAAAGTAAACATATGGAAAAATGTTTATTGTTTTTAGTAATAAAAGCAAACTGAAGTACCATATAAAATTGATTAACAAAAGACACCCCATTTAAATGGTATTACTTAAAGCAAGGTGTATTGAGAATACTACACTTCATTCTTGGCACTGGTAATACTTAGAAATTTCATGGAATGTACTACATATTAAAAGCTAACAAGAATGTTCATGTACTTTGGCTCAGTAATCTCATGCTGGAAATTTTAATTCCACTAAAGAAAAAAGGTACATTGTGGTATAAATTATACCACATTCAAACAAATACAAAAAATTATAGTACATTAATTTGAGGAAGTAATATTACCATTAGAATAATAATTTTAACTTTAGTTGAAAAATAAGAATTTAAAATTTATGTATGAGTGAACTATGGTAATATATATATGCATACTGACAAAAAATAAACAGTAACATAAAAATAAAAAATAAAAAATGTAGCACTGGCTATAACTTCCTTTCTATGGTTTATATTATGTGGTTGTTTTTGTTTTGTTTTTTGCTTTTTTATAATTTAGAAGGAGAAAAGCTTCTCTGCAGACATTAACACTTAAGGACACCTGTTGACTACAGAAATTCATTACCCTACAGTAAATATATACAAAGAGGAGGACGTTTGTTAAGGATTGTAGTCATGGCAAAATATTCCAAAACAATAGCAAACAAAGAAGTATCTGATTGTCTATTACTAAATGTCTATGACATAAAGAAGTATATTTGTTTCACGATTAGCTGGGTCACAAACACTTCTGGGTTTATTTTGTTTTTTTAAACCTCACAAATAATAAAATTAATGCTAGATATCAGTCAATTCTACATGTAGGAAGCAGGTTTCTTTTTTTACTATCAGAGTTCATCTCTCCTATTTATTAGCAGCTATGTTTCTAAAACCAATCCTATGAGGCTGTCTAGCTTAATAATCATATTTAAAAAGCTCAGACTTCCAATGAGACTTTTTGAAGTTTTTCTTTTAGTTGTTTATGATGTTTAGGCAGGAGAAATTGACAGAAATTCCTAATAGCTATTGCAATGCCAACAAAGGATATTTTATTTCAAACTATTTAAACAAGCTAGCATTAATCACATTTTCCTGATGAAAAAACTGATATAAAGTAAAATTATTTCTGCCTCTGATAAAACCATTCAATGAA